GTCTTGCGGCAAATTGTGCCCTCTTAAACATCATTCTGTTAAATCACTTTCACTGGTTCCTGAATATTTCTATAGCCGACTATCCCTGATTTCTGAATTGGGTTTGCCCGGTTTTCCTTCATTCCACGAGGGCGTACTTATTTTCCACCTATCGCTCATGCCCGGGATTTTGACGGCAAGCACGTTACTTTGGTTTTCGAAATATCCGAAACAACTCAAAAACTGAAGTAGTACATACTTCATGCTGTGGTAGTTCGCCGGTCCGTCGCAAACGGTGGGGACCGCCATTTTCCCGGCGGCGCAGTGGTTACCCGCCCGTGGACTGGGTTACGGTATCTACCTTTCTCTCTTTCTCTCCTTTCGTGTGCATCGTGTGCCAAAGATACAGCAAGGTCACTGTGAAAGCTACCTGAAGTGACGAGGCTGAAGACATCTGTGTGCTGGTCCCTACCTTTGCATGAACCTGCTCACAAGGAAGGGGCCTCAGATCTTTTATCAAACAATGAGTTGTCATAAAAGCAACTCTTGCATAGGGCCCTTGGAGCCCTGTGCTCATTCTGAAAGTGAGGCAGCCTTCGGAGTCACAACCATACATGTGCTGCAGTGTTTTCAAGTCGCTTTGAATCCGAACTGGAGCGATCTCTTTCTTCCATCTCTCCTACAACTGACAAATCGTGGTCCCTAGCCAACTGGAGATGAAAAGGAGCTTTGTGGTTGACGTGGCGTATAGCCTTTATGTCACATGTGCTCTAGGCAAACAGACTCCACCAACAGCTTTCAGATGAGCACGAATTCCTGTAGATTGCTGATAATGGACGGATTTCCCGATTGTTTTCGTACTATCTCACTTAACACTATGATTGACGGTACATGCCACTGCTCAAATAATTATTATTATCCGGGGAGGGGGAGCGGAGTCATATTCAGCCAGGAACCTGAATGTCACCGTTTGGTTATTGTCGTTGAGCTAGTGCCCATGCACATCTGCCCGCCAACTCGACTTTTCTGGAATTTTGATGTGTGCACGTATATCGTTTATTGGATGGACCTATTATCAATGAAAAACTTGCGGTCTTTGCTATCCCATCTCTCCTAGCGCCATCGCCTTCAGCAGTTTCCTCTACTACCTCTTCTATGCACCTCTGGTCTACGTCCTGTTTTTGCGCGGTTACTTCAGGTAAGCCTCCAGTGACGCCACATTGTGATACCCTCTCTCTCACACTCTGCGTGCTATTTCTTTCCCTCATCTTCTCAACCTTTATGTTCCCATTTTTTTGTTCACTACCTGTTTACACAAAACACCTGTTACCTTTACCCCCTCTCTCTCCCCCTCCTCCTCCCCCCCCCCCTCCTTTTCAGCTCCCGAAAAGGCCACCTCGCGTTTCTCTACCGGTCGGATCTCTACCGCTCCCAGGAAGTGGGTCTCTCTGTGAACTCTGGCGACATTCGCGTGCCTTCCTACTCGGCCGTGTCCGGAAACTCTGACCCCCCAACCCCCCTCCCAGCTCCCCGTATGCTGGCGGAACGCTGCGGCTCCACCTTGTCACCACCCGCAAGAACCACCTCCTATCCGCCGACCGCCTTCATCCCGGGCGCCCGCGTATCCACCAAGGGCGGTGGCGATGGCGAAGACGCCCGGCTGGACTGGGCGTCCGGAGAGTTTCTTGTGGACCGAGGAGGCAGCTGTGATGATGATGTCAGCCCCATTCTGCCTCGTGTGCCAGGCGCGTGCAGCACCGGCGACGGTCTACCCAAGATCGGCGAGCTGTTGGCCGACCCGGAGCGGCTGCTGTCGGCGGAGGATGATGAGGACTTCTACAGTGGCCAGCCAGATCCAGCCCTTTTTGAGACTGGTGCACATCACTAGCCCTGCAACTCCACTCCCCCCCCCCCTTTACTGGAAGTACAGTGTTTTGGTTTTCCTGTCTTTCTGTGATGCATATTATCGTCATTACGATTTCCCACCTTTTACACATTCCTCGCTGTGCGTCCGTGTATGTACACTGCCATCCACCGTCTTCTCCGTTTTACAGCATTCAACCAAAATCTGTCTTACAAATCCGGACAGTTCGTTTGTGCCTCATCGGTCATTCCATGTCATCGTCATCATCTTATCAGCTCTGCTTCTTGAGAATTTGGCCTTCTCACTTTGTAACTGCTTGACAGCCTTGACGCACATGATGGTCTTAATCTGCCTCCAGTTAGCCCCTTTAGACACGAGGTGGTCCGGCGTGGAAATGTAAAACTGAAGGGATAAGGACGATTTCCACATCCCCCCAGCCTAATTGGCTTTCTCATCAGGTTCCGAGTGACCTCAGAAGACGGCCTTGTCGCAAATTATTACAGGCCACTTGAACTGTTAGTTAAGCTCTCCGTCGGCCGCTCTCTGTATGCATCCGCCTCGAGCACATGGATTCGAGTTGTCGGCGGTTCAACTGGCTGTCCCGGTCACTGAAGGCGACAAATCAGGAGGAGCTGTCAGTACTTAGTGGCCTCCGTTTGCCAGCGTTTGCTTCTGGTATGATTCAGAAAGTGAACACCTGACGAAGTTCGGATATACGAGCTTTTGAATGTCTCGAATTTTGCATACCTAGCTCTCTGCACTTTCAAACTGCAACCACAAATTGGGCTACGCTTAGTATTAGAAGTAGGAGGAGTAATAACGTTCTTTGTAGTTTTAATCCGAATGTCACTTGTTAGGCGTTCGTGTCTGCCCTACTTGAATAATGTGTTTTTGCAAGTCAGATCTTGTTTCTTAGACTTTGATTTAGATTAATTTAGGCTTTCTTTTCTAGATTTGGCTTACCAAAATGAGAGAAAATTCGAGGGCTATCGTGTTCGTCACTGTATGCATTTCACAAGGGAAACAAAGCCTTCACGTTAGTTAGAAGGCATGGACTCCTGACCTGATAATCATATTCACTCCTCCCAATATATTGTTCGGGGGCCCTGAGAGTCTTCCCACTTTCAACAGTCGCCTTCCAAGCTGAATGTACTGGTAGCGTTGCAAACCATCGTTACCACTGCGGCCATATTTCGCCTAACGAGTCTAGTAACACAGGGTACCAACCCATTATCATAGTTATCAGGAATCCAGGAAGCTAACTGAAGGTCAGCTACTCACGTCTGGTCCCCTCCCACCAAGCGTTCCATGATCAAAGTTCCAGAATTCCTCATAGATCGTTCTGCAAGTCTCCCGCGGCCTGCGAATTAGCTGATTTAGTACGGTCTGCCGGCAATATAATTTGTCCGTTTAGAGCAGCCCAAGACATTCGCAAATTCACTTAAATCGTTAATCAGCGCGTGGGCGGTATCACCTTACGTACCACTTATTCATCCCCAACGCCAGCGAGAACCACTGTACTCGAATTCGGCGCGGTCAGCTGTTCATGACGATTTCGTCGGTTCTGTAGGTCTGCTGACTTTCCATGGTCAAAGGTAAATTTGGTAATAGAATTTCAGACGATCTTGATTTTTGGCGTTGATAGCTAGTTTAGGTTTAATCATCACCAAGTAGGGGCACAGTGAACTTACCATGACAGTGATCAATGGCCAATACTGATAAATGTAACCGACTAAAATAAGAATATAACGCCAAGTTCAGGCTTTATTCCCACCACCAGACGGCAATCTTTAGCTCCACATTGGGCGCCTGGGATTTAAACCCGAGCTACGGTAGTCATGGAGTATATTCCAGACCAAGCGCTCCGACTGGTTCAATTCACTTCCAGCAGAAGGTAACATCCGGAAACCCAAACACGTGCTTCGCTGATTTTTTTGCTACTGAATGACGCAGCCGCGGACGGTCCGGTCCTCCAGCGTTCCTCATCTGCCCCCTGATATGCATTCCGGCTTCCGATATTATGTGTTTATTCAGCCGAAGCTGATGCATTTTAGTCCAGTGATTCGCATCACCTTTCGAACCGAACCTGAAAAGGCTTGCACCCAACACACTCCAAGTCCACACGTTGACTTCGATGGAAGGAGGTTTGGCATTGAAATGCTCTGTCAACTGGGCCAAGGTCTCGAGTCCCGCCAGTTGATATGCGGTCACATTACGGCGGCGTTCACCGGCCCATCATGATTGCAGACAGAAACGGACTGTTCTGCGTTGCTTTAGAACCCCGGTTCTGGAACCCGTGCAGGCAACCTCATAACGAATAGCTTAGACGTCGTCGACAGAGACAACGGTCTCCATGCTGGCTACCTACAGTTTACCTGTCGCCATCAACGCCGAACCAGTTCCCACGCATGCCTCCCCCCTCCAAGATGGAGGGCAAGGGAGACTGAGCTAGACATTTCTGGCTTATTAGCCGTCATTAGTCAAGCATATCAAACCACATATTAGCGAGACCCGGTATTCGAACCCAGATCCTTCGGTCATTGCAGCCGCACGGAGTTATACGAGAGCGCAATCAACCCTACTGAACACTCATTGGAGATAATTCGAGTACTGCCGGGAATACACGTGAGTCATAATCCCTTATCACCAGGGACAAATGGAAGCAAATGCGGTCTGGAGTTAAACCCGCTGGATAGGCACTGACAATCGGAGGTTAAAAATAGTAGTGTTAGCAAAGGGCCTTTAGTAGGGAACGCCCACAAACCAATTTCAAAGTCAAAGGGGAAACATACAAACTCGGAGCAGAACTATATGTGATGCAAAGGTCTTTGAATTAGAGCGCCACCTTCTTTGGAAACCCTGTACGCCCATCAAACGTCTTCACTGAATAGGCGATTTGTTAGATGAATTAATCGCATTTCGGACAACATAACAATGCATGGGATGTCAATTCTATATTGATAGAACCAACGCCGTGTAGGGCTGGGAAAACGAACAAACCTGTTACAGAATGCCAACTAGGAACCCGTAATAGTTCGAGGCAGCAATACTCAACAAGGCGAAGCGCTAGCCAGTTAGTGGCTTATGGAAATGTGACTACGTGAGGATTCTACAACACTGCAGTTCGAAAAAGTGTGGCGGCTAAAATCCCTCCAGGTTAGTACTCCAGATGAGCATATAGGTGTTTTTCTCGCATCTTTTTAGACTGGTGAGCATAGTACTCGTGTATGCTGGGCTCGCACCAGAGGTCACGTGGGTTGTGGTAGACGGGGCAGTCATGCCAATGGCCGACTTCCCAGCCGGGTACATCCTTCATCAGTTCTTTTTCATACTCCTGATTTTTGATAAGGTGTTTCAAGTACATGCGTTGCTGTTCAGCTATGAGAAATGGCGCCAAGGCTAGGCGCACTTCACGGTTTTCGTTGCGGCGCGCCTCTCGTCGCGCATATCCCCAATCACGCAGTTTTACGCCGACAAAAGTGCAGGCATACAATGCGGCGATCAGATATAGACCTGAAAGTGAGGAATAGAAGGTAGAATGGGAAATTGAGTTCTATAAAAGGAACAAAGTGTCAGATTATGTAAGAGGATTAGAAAGATTTCAACGAATGACGAAGCATATCTAGGTGCGGACAAGCAATAGTACAGAAGCTAGTAACTTCTGTTGTGGGTCTCTTACCCATCTTAGTCTGACGGCATGTTATGCACATTTAACAATGACGGCTACGTTCAAGTATTTTACTAATATTTACGGTGGCATTCAGTACTGCAGTCCGTCAGTTCTGTAGGCCAAGGGCCAGAGATTGGCTTGAAGTAAGTGTCCAAGATGTCGACCCGCGACGTTAGTTGGCCACCAAGGTATCTTCCCCAGGCAAAGCTAGATTGGAGACGACTTAATGTCCAGTAAAATTTCGTCATCAAGTCGACGCACGACATGGCTGAGCCACGTCGGTTAGCGAACAGGAAGGATGCTGTCGACCACTTGACTTCCTGATAGACTATATGGCCGCTCCTTATAAGGATGGATGAGGAGAATGAGGAGCAAGCAGTGCCAATTAGATCACCCCAGGCAGTGTATATCTTCCGAGGACATGAGCCATAGCTCACTCGTACAGGAATGTTTCAACTGAGGCCTTCGTAGATTGCAACTTACATCACGCCGAAACCAGGAGTTTCTGTGGGGTCGAACACAGGCCACATGTGCTTGGTTAACCCGATGGTTGATTCAATCTTTATTTTGCCCGTCTAGTAGAAAATTTGACTCCAAATGCTGAAACATGTATACTATCCGAAGAGCTACACACCCTGCCGAGACCGTACAAATCGGCGATGCTACCTAAAGTGGTCACCTCTGTGTAGGGGAAATCAATTTGCAAACCTCCCTAAGTCTTCCTTCGCACCTAGCGCGGACAACACTCCCTGCATTTATGTACAGGCTTTTTATGGCGCCACAAAGCCATTAGTGTAGCCAATATCCTCAGTGCATGGACCATGACCTGCTGTAATATCCGAGTGATGCGCGGCGTGCTTAAGAACCCAGTTTATCATGTAACTTAACAGTGTTGGGTAAAAGCGGCCCCAGTGAACCAGTTGCTGCCCTTACATTCTCGAAAGATTTTGGTCACTGTTTCGCGGTAGTAGATGTGAATTAATAGAAGTGGCTTTGATAGTGTGCCATCATATGCGTTCCTGATGAAGAGGCAGATGTGAAGGCAGTAGGCCGCTAGTTATTGTGTTGCCGTTTGACGGCCCGACGACAAGAGAAGTGCTAGAACTCAAATTTATTCTTTTTCGTGCGGGCGTCGTGATGCGGGCGGGAAAAAATCGAGAATGATAATCGCAAAGGCCTCAACAGCGGTGTCAGGGAGGTTTGTGTCACCGTAGTTCTTGCAGTGACGTGTTTCTTTAAGAAAGCGTAATAAGAGTGTTATTTCAGTCTTTAGGTAACCTCTGCTTCCTAATTTGGGTCAAACGGCCTTGTAACCGGTCAGACAAAACCGTTACTGCTTTGTTGCATCAACAAGGACCCACTAGGTAAACGTCAAGCCACAGTCACAGATGTGCTCGGGCGAGGGGGGCTTTCGAGACGGGCGGCAGTCAAGGGTAGCCAACCTGATGGGTTTACTAGCTGGGTAAAATGTTCTCTTCATCAAAGGGTCGTGTCTGACAGTAACGCTACTGTCGCATCTCAGTTGTGTGCGATCATATTGAAAATAAATTACAACTTGTGTATCTGGAGAACTCACCCCAGTCCAGTCTCCAATGACTGAGACCAAGTGCTAAAGTTTGAACAAACACCGGTTATGGTGAGTTGGGTTGACTCGTGTTTTGAGTTAACCACTTCGACGCCTCCAGATGTCCAGGATTTGGACTTCAGGCAGTAGCCAAACGACCAGGCTCTGCTGAGGAGGACTAAGCCATCAGACTTTCTACAATAGGACTCAGGAGCCTTTGCACACCTCAACACCCAACACCGGGAGCCCGTTCACGGGTGAGTAGTCTAGCCCGCACACTACTGGTCCAGAGTTCTGGTGCGCACGCCGCAGCATGGACCGTAATTCGTGGGGGTTTTCGGCGAATTCCAAGTACGAGAGAGTTCTGAATGGCCATTCAGTGGTGGCATGTGGCGCTTATCTAGTGACGGTTCACAGTCGCCATGCCACTGTGGCTTCCCTGGGATTTTGTGAAATTCTATAAGTCGGCTGACGTGCCATACCTTAGCCATTCGCACCCCCAGCAGGAACAACGCTACCAGTCCCCGACAGCTCCTTTAGATCCGGGGGCCCATTTATTTCGCAGCAAACCCTCGCTGAGGGTCAGTCCAATACCCACCACTCATGAAGACGTCAGGTTGCCAGAACCCAGGTTAGCCGGTAGCATCGTCTTCGAGATTTTATACCACTCACGAAAAAACGAGACTGGTCATATATCCATGAATATGTTACTAAACTTCAAAAAAACTGCGGACCATAAGTCGACGGCCAGTAAAGGACAATGCCAGCATAAAAGGACCGTTTACATGTACAAGCTAATATAAGCTGCAAAGGCGCAATTAGAAAAACGTATACAAAATATGCACATACCGTTTAGGGATCTTCGAACGGTCTTATTAAAAACGTTGAACAGGGCGTAGCCTCCCGGTGGAGGCATTTCCTGCTTGAACGCCGCCATCTACAATGAGGAGGTAACATGACAACGGGACACAAATAAAGGTGGTAAACACTAGACGGAACGCATATTTCTTGACAAGTTAACTAAGGGAAATGGGAGCATAAAACTTTGCATAGCATAAAAACAAAGATGTGTGGGCACTCTCAGAGGTGTGGGCGACTGAATTGTTTGAGTTCAAAGTATTACATAGTGTGACAAACGACAGGTGACCGTGCCCTATTACGGTTAGTCGTCAGGAAGTTCGTTGTCATTAAGATTAATAAAGTGCGACAGACGATTATACATATTCGTAACTTACCTAGAAATAGCGCATACACCCAACACGAAAAGTCTAGAAGAAAAAGATTAAACTTTGCTGACGGCAACGGATTTTATTGAAAAATCGGTTTAATAAGTCGGGAATCTTATTCCGTCTAGGTTCTTCGCAAATCCCCGGAGACGAACTCACCTATTTTGCGTACTTTTGGACGAAAAGCCGCGCCTGGCCGCTCGACAAAACCTATGAAGGTGTTCGACAGAGGCAGACGGTGTCTTACTTATTCCGCCTAAGTTCCGGTTCAGTAAAAGCCTACTGTCCATTGTCCTATCGGAAGCTGGATCGCATGTTTTACCTATGGTCAAGGACACCTGGATAGCCATTTTTCTTCTTGTTAAAATCTGCACGTACACAAAGTCGGAGAAATGGCTTTTAAATTTCAATGTGCAGAAGTGTGCCGTCCTTTATCTGCGTCCAACCAACTCTCATTCAAATGAGAGCCTGGGGACATATCACCTGAATGATATAAGACTCCCCGCAGAATCTTCGCAGAAAGATCACGAGGTTTGGATACAGAGCGACATGAAACCAGCACTGCAGTGTAACAAGGATGCAAAGAATGCCATGGGAGTCCAGCATACATTCAAAAGGGCGTTCGTAACCTTCGACAAAGACCATTTTGGAAGAGTTTACGGCACCTTCTTTCGGACCCATTTAGAACATGGCATGTGCGCTTGGCGGCCATGGCTTTTAAAGAACCAAACATACCTTGAAAGAGTACAGCGTCGTTCAACAAACCTGGTAAACTGTTGAAAAAGCCAATCCAACACAGAAAGACTTAATTGCCTTAATTTATTCCCTTAGTGTTAAGGGCGGCAAAGAGGTGATTTTATCCTCGTCTACAAGATAATGCATGGCCCGGAGCATGGACTTAGCTTTGAGGACATATTTCAGTGGCACTTTTCACCCAATCTTCATGGTCACTCGATGAAGCTACAGGCAAAAATGTCCGGTCTGAATCCTCGTTCTGAATTTTTCACGCAGAGGGTAGTCGAGAAATGGAATGATGTCTTTCAGTCAGTCGTGGAGGCGACGTCCCTGCCACTCTCGAAGGTACGCTCGGATGATTATTTGTGTCTCCTGTTTTCCCTCGACACCCTGAATCTGAACTAATACCCCACGTCCCCACGAATATTTTCTCTGATACAGTGCTACTCAAATGAATCAAGTACTGTTTTAATAGCGAATGTGTTTATTGTTCATATGCAGTTATTTCTGACGAGCTGACATGCAATCAATAGGGTTTTCAAAGGCCTTGCCTATTATCCTTACCAAATAAACCAAATTCTCATTGCTATGACGGGAATATGATTCAAAGCTGAAATCGTGGATGCCAAGATTTTGGTATAGTATCTTTCGCAGGAACCGTCATAGTCGACAGGGCGGTGGAGAAGTCGTACAAATAAGGACAGCAATTACGACATTTGAAAGAGCCTATACTGTCTTCTTCGAATATGAATTCGCCTTGTTAATGATAAAGAAGAGTAGCGCACAAAACCTATAATTCCTGAGGACTTACAGACTGCCAGACCTTCCGAGCGCAGCTGATGAGTCGCTCCTCTATTGAGTCAAGGAAGTGGCTAGATACCAAGAGGTTCTTATTGCTGAGAATGTCAACGCACTTGCATTAGCGTGGAAAAGCCTGGAAGTGGACCGTATGCCAACTTCCTTCAGACATAAGCTGATGGACCTCACACTCAACCTCCCTCTGGCATAGCATGTAATGAAAGCAACGAGATTTAAAGATAACCAGAGAGCCAATTTCTTGGACCTAGTTTTTACGAAAGACTAGTCTTATAGTGACAAAGTGTGTTGCAGTAAATCTCTCGAAAAGATTGACTATACTACGTCTCTCTGAGTTTACTCGCTCATAAATATTTATTTATTTACTTGATGTAATTCAGCGATGTAGTTCAATGAAGCCACAGAAAACGACTAGCCGACTTGCCTGGTTAACTAGGGATCTGAATTGACAGTGACGGAAGAAAATTAAATGATAAACGATATTCAGAGAAAATTGGCCGCCAGAGCACTTCGAGGAGTTTCGTCGTCACCGAAAGGCAGTCAAAAATACATCCATCAGGCACAGAAGGAGTATGAATCCAGAATTATCCGGCAGACCGAACGAAAGTCCGAAACTGAATTTCATTATATTAACAGTTGACTGAAAAACAAGGACCCTGTGGAAGTACTGAAGGATGATAATTGTGTAGAAATCGTCGAAAACGGCGAGAAAGCCGAACACTTGGGACCGCACTTTGGTTTGGTATTCACTAGGGGAACGCAGTTTCTTAGTCGCAGTATCAAAAATGGTGTTGAGACTGTTGGTCCCGCTATTGAGTCTGTATCCTTCCCGACATTTGTCATGGAAAGATAGCCACAGAATTTCAAAGTGGCTAAGTCATCAGGTCCGGACAATATACTGACCAGATTCTTGAATGAATTGGCAAACGAACTCTCCAAACCACTAACACACAACTTCCGCTCGTTATTCGAATTAGGGAGACTGCCAACCGAATGGAAAAGAGCAAATATATATCCGATATACACGGGTGGGTCTCACAGTAGTGCTAACAATTATCAGCTCGTTGGTCTCACCTGCACCTGCTTCACCATTACAGATCTAGGTTTAAGTTATACAAATAAACTTGCTTTATCATATCATACAGATAGAATCTCTACCAAAGCCACGCGGATATGTGGATTCCTATCGCATAATTTTTCCTTCCGGAAATGGAGCTAAGACTTTATCACATGTTCGTTCGTCCATTCCTCGAATAGTGCTGTCCTTTCTTTGGTTTAATGAATGCCTGTGACCGCTAAAATATCAAAAATGTTCAGAAGGGTTTCACCCGGAAACTGTTCTCTCAAGCTTCGTCCGGTATTTCTTATACTCATAGATGTCAGCTGACGAACATGAAGTTTTTTTCGGCTAGAAGACTCGAAGCTGGCCTTTGCTTCCTTTTTCGCATTAAGTATAGTTCCAATCCTCCGCTCATTGACACTCTCACTCCGATAGATCGGTCATATGCCACGCGCAATTCCCCATCGTGATTCCACTGCCGCTTTGCACTACATCTAAGCGCATTCCCTTCTTTGCTTCCAAATATGCTTTCCTTAGGAATAATTTTCCGCCAGAAATTAGATCATCGCCTAAGTTACTGGTATTCAAGTCGAAATTACGCAAACATCTTACACCGGAAAGCATAAAGGCACTGTTAACGGTCTCATTCCCGAACACTCAGATTCTTGACTTAGAGAAGGGTCCTCCTGGGATTTAGTGATAGATCAAGTGGAAACCCTCAATTATATTATTAGTAGCCGCTTTTTTCATTAGTTGCTAAATCCACTGCTATCACTCTTCCCCCCCATAGCGACGATTTTCGCGGTTCTTGATGTCATCTCCCGCATTTCGACCTCATGCGGTATGTCGACGCACACGGATGAAGCCTCAGCATTCGTCGTCTCTTCCTCGGGTGGACTCTTAGCGTACTGTGGCTGATCGCGTCTGGGTTCCTCTCGTCTAGCCTCTTTGACGCAAATAGTCTCAACCGTCGTATCAATCCTGCCCAGACGATGTCAGTTGTGAATCCCGTATACAATACCGCATGCAGCCCAGTCCTGTCTGACCCACATACGTACCCCTCAAGGCTGACATTTATTTCTGCCCTGACGATGTCCGATTATAATCCGTTGTATACCGCCACATACAGGTTAGTCCTGCCCGCATTTTTCTGTTTTTGTTTTTTATTGAGGGTTTTTTTCTTCTGTAAAATTAATCCAATCCTTTTTAAATTTTTGCATGGAGTTTTTTTTCACTCCTTGCTAGTCATTTTTTTAATGGACTACTAATTCAGAAACTATGAATTGCATTTTGTACGGATTTTGCCTACCTCGTCTAAAATTCTACGTAAATTTATTTTTACTTGTTTTGATTGGACCCCGACGGGTCTTTAATAAAAGAACTATTACTATCTGATGTAAAATAGTGGATACTGTGCTTAAGAATGCATAAACGAAGTCCCGGGAGCAGAAACACTTACTCTCAGGACTGCAGCACGGCTTCAGACAAAAACGTTCATACCTTTCCAGTTTTTTGCTCTCGACTGAGCAGTGGACTCGTGCAATGGACGAGGATGGTTGGGTCTATGTCATCTACACAGGTTTTAAGAAGGTGTTGGATAGCGTCTTATACAAACACCTAATCCTCAAATCGTCTGACATTGAAGTAAGTGCAAAACTGCTGACATGGATCGCAGACTTTCCTACAGGGAGATCGAAAACCGTGTGTGTTGATGCTTCGGAGTCAACTCCCACCCAAGTCCTAAGTAATGTTCCCGAGGGCTCAGCCTTAGAGCCGCTGCTATTCCTAGTTTACATTAACGACTGCGTCGATGTCCTGCGATGCAGCGCCGTCATGTTTGTTGACGACATTAAGCTCTGGAGAGCCAGCAGATCTGACGCAGACAGACATGCACTTCAAGGATATTGCAACCGGCTGGGTAGTTGTTCAACTCTTTGGCTCATCACTTTTTATGTGGAAAAGTGTGTGGTACTAAGACTCCGCACCAGAAGCGCCAGTAGGAGGATGGTTCCTTTCAATGCCTCCTTGATGGGCACCCCCTTTCGAATTTTGACGAACAGAAATACCTAGGCGTCCTAATGACCTCTTCCCTTATACCATCGTACAGTTCAAAGGGCAGCCAAAGGCCGATGCGGCTGTCAGATGCACTGAGGCAATGATTTGTGCAGATCGACTTGGGACTGGTTAGATAAACCTACGAGCACTCATGTAGTCTCACTTAGAGTATATCGGCCAGACCTGTCGACCGGGAATCAGGAAGAATTGTCAACAGATGGTAGGAGTGCAGGCGATGGTCACGAATATGGCAAGTGCGCAGCAATCTCATTTAAACCTGGGAGCCTTGAGTATACCCTTGAATTTGACAACACCATTGAATTGCTTGAGACGGACCACCTGCGTGGTCATCCCTTTAAACTGCAGAAGAAACTGGCTCGTGCAGGCGTCCGACGGAACGCATTCTCCCAGAGGGTCATTGAAGCATGGAACGGACTCCCTGATGCGATGTTTTTTTCCGCAGCTGTTGAGTCCTTTAAATGCAGACTAGACTCTCATTTGCTGAGGAGCTACTGAACCAAGCTCGTCAGAGGTCATAAACACCTACCTAAAGAAACTACAGTGTCAAATCTTAACCCTTTTCCCCTGGACTACAGGCAACTCCGTGGCTACTTAATTCAAACA